TCAGGATGCAGATGCACCCCGTCTGCACTGGGAAGCCCTCTGTTGCCACCACAGCCTGCAGGGATCAGTCCTACCCTGAACCCCTTACTCTAAGAAAGGTGTGTGGAAGAGACAATGACTGGTTCATCTTTTTTGAATGACTTATCTGCTTCATTTAAGCTTCTCAGGGTCTCAAGAGCAGAGTCAGTGTGTCTCTTTCATTGACACAATAGAGGGTTATAGGTGGCTGTTTATGTCTGCTAGTGGTGATAAAGGTGTTCTTTTTAAAAAAATATATATTATTGATTTCAGAGAGGAAGGGAGAGGCAGGGAGAGAAACATCAATGATGAGAATGAATCATTGATCGGCTGCCTCTTGCACGCCCCCTACTGGGGATCAAGCACGCCACCCAGGCATGTGCCCTTGACCGGAATTGAACCGGGACCCTTCAGTCTGCAGGCTGACGGCTCTATCCACCGGCTAGGGTGATAAAGGTGTTCTTAAATACCTGTTTACTTTGGATTTTTATTTTTTTATTACAATATATTTTTATTGATATCAGAGAGGAAGGGAGAGGGGGAGAGAGAAACACCAATGATGAGAATGAATCATTGATCGGCTGCCTCCTGCACACCCCCTACTAGGGATCGAGCCCACAACCTGGGCATGTGCCCTTGACTGGAATTGAACCCAGGACCCTTGAGTTCACAGGCCAACGCTCTATCCACTGAGCCAAACCAGCTAGGGCAAACTTTGGATTTTTCTGAGGATGTTAATTGATGGATACTTTCCCCCCTCCTCAAATGACTAGCAGAGCAAATTCTAATACAAAAACTAATACAGGTATACCTCGGAGATATTTCAAGGTTGGTTCCAGGCTACTGCAATAAAGCTAGTCATAACCTTTTTGCTGGAGGGTCTTGCCTTCATTTTGTAAAATATGCAACATGTTCTGTGAAGTGCAATAATGGGAGGCACAATAAACGAGGTATGCCTATAGTTATAACTGGTAGTTGCAACCTCTTGTCCCACCTCTCTTCCCTCTTGACCTCTACCTCCACACCCCAGAAAGACTAAAATGATTCAATCTCCTGAGGTCAATTCTTTGTTTACAAAAAGTACTGTTTTTCTTTTTGGTTATCCTAGGTAACAGAACAAGGTTTAATAGAAATCCTTGAAAAAGTAAGCCAACAAACAGAAAAGAAAACCACAGTTAAAGTAAGTTTCCCCAAGTGCATATGGCAGAAGAGAAAGATTGGTATTTTAAATGTGTTGACTATACACCTACTGTATCAAAATATGTTTCAGCCCATAGACATTTCCATTTTGTAACACATGGAAGTTTGGGGAGCAGGGCTTGCATATATTGAGGGGTCTAATTTTTAAGGCTCTTGTTTCATCGTTCCCCCTCCCCTTATATCTAAAACTCTTTTAAGTTGTTTTAAAGATAGACAAAAATGTCTTGCTGTAGTAGGTAGAGATATTTCTTCTCAGAAAATCTGAGTTGTGCTTTATTAAACAGGTAATAACACTTGCTTAATCTCCCTCCTCCCAGTTCAACAGAAGAAAAGTAATGGACTCTGATGAAGATGACGATTATTGAATTTAAGATGCATAGACTGGAACTTAATGGAACAATTCCAGGACAGATAATACTTGGCAGTTAAGATCTGATTGAATGTTCACTTTGTTTATTGTTTATATACCTTTAGAAAAATAAACTTGTGTAAAATAAAACAATTTGGGCAAAGTCATTTTAGTACTGTAGCTCAATCAACAGAAGATCTGCATTTTGCATTTTTTCCTTTCCTACCAAAAACTTTTAAATGTGTAGCAGCATGAATATATCCTTTGTAATTGTGACATTAGTGTTAGGGAAGAAAATGGCCATAGCAGAAATAGAAGCTGCTCGAGTAGGCTTCAGTAAGAACAAAATAGCATCCAGTAATGTCATGGGAGTTAAAACCTGTGGATTAAGCTAAGTCAACTTTAATATCTAATATTTCTAAGACATAGGTTCTGAAAGCAGGTGAGCTATTTTTCTCCCTGCAAATAGTACTTACATTTAATGTAAGACTATTCCTAGCTTTGGTTTCATTTATAATCTGCTTTTCAAAGGCATCGAGGTATATTAAATTATCTAATAAATATTACCCTTATCCAAAAAACCTCCATAGCTAGAGTGATACTTCCATTGAAAAGAATTCCTAAAATAACTAGGAAATACTGGTAATAATACTTCAACAATAATAAACATGTCTGTAAGTAAGAGAAATAACTTCTAATGATTAAAATCTAATTGAGACAGTTTAAAAAGTTACCTTTTGCCCTAGCTGGTTTGGCTCAGTGGATAGTGTTGGCCTGCAGACTGAAGGGTCCCAGGTTTGATTCCAGTTAAGGGCACATGACCAGGTTACGCACTTGATCCCCAGTGGGGGTTGTACAGGAGGCAGCCAATCAATGATTCTCTCTCTCTCATCATTGATGTTTCTATCTCTCTCCCTCTCCCTTCTTCTCTGAAATTATGTAAAAGAAAAAACTTTCTTTAAAAAAATATATAAAATGAAAATAGTTACCTTTTGGTAAAAATGTTCTGGGTTCTTCACTGATAAAACTGCAGGTAACTTAAAGCAAATATCATCTCTTATATCATGCTTCACTCCCACTAGGTCAGTGGTCGGCAAACTGCGGTTCGCGAGCCACATGCGGCTCTTTGGCCACTTGAATGTGGCCACGAAGTTTCAATCGCACTGTACGTGCGCGCCCGCATGTGGTATTTTGTAGAAGAGCCACACTCAAGGGGCCGAACTAGGTTATGAAAACTTTGCTCATAAATTTAAGTCATAAATTTAAAGTGAGCTGTTTGGTATAACCTTTAGATATCTTAGTTCTGTGAGACCCAGCCCAGGAGGAAGTTATAACATTTAATGAGATGAACAGAATTAGAAGCAGAAAAGCGATAGGAAACGTGGTTTACAGTCCAATCTCTATTTTAGCTAGCATACTGCTGCTGTATGTTTAAACTACATTTGAGGTTTACTCTATTAGAGACTAGAAATTTGTAACTGTATAGTCAATGGAGAAAGTCAGTGTTGGAATAGTGTCTAGTATTCCCTGAATGAACAAATGAATAAGTAGAACCATTAAGAACATCAAGATTTTTTTAAAGGAACAGAATTAAATAGTCAAAAGAAAATTTTCATCAAGGATTTTGAAAAAACAACACAAACCAATTACAGGTTCATTTTGCTTTAGTTCTCATTTACATAAAAATGCTGGAGAGAGACTTGTTACATGGTTTCCCTTGCAGAATAACCACTGTCCTAATGGCAAGCTAAGTCAATGGGTTGTTTTGTTCAAAAGGATGAAAAATGAATCAAATTAGCAAAGCAACAGTACTCATTTCCTGTGTAGGCTAAGAAGCTGTAATATATTCATTTTTGTTCTGATTTTAAAAGAAAACGTTTTTGTGGGCGCTAGGCACTATATCTCATATGTTGCCAGCCCTAGTCCAGGTAGATGGGTAGTGATCTCTGAAAGATGCAGTTTATGTTTCAGTCACAGTCACATCTGTAACTGAAAAATAAAATGTACATCCATCAAAATGGGGGGAGATTTTACCACACACAGAGCACATGGTTATAGCAGAGAGGCTTAGAAACATATCTCCACAGCAAAACATTAACTAAAAAAAGTACAGCATGACACGTTCAAGAATCATAAAGTTTACTGTTTCTTTTCCATCATTTGGCACATACCCAAGGCACATTAGAAAATTAGAAGTCATAAATTACTTTGTAGAAAAATAATCAGCCCCTCCCTTTTGTACATACACAAGTATTTCTAAGAACATGCACAAAACCTTTCCCTATTACAAAGTTATTTGAAAATGTACTCAGGATAAACCCATGTTTTGGATCTAGACCAATTAATAAAAAAATAAGAGTATAATTAGTAGAAACTCATAAAAAGGAATAAATGGCAATAATAATTTCTAACTCAAAGTTACTTTGACCTGGTTTGTGCTCTAAGTTTTGAATCTGATCAAAAGAGAATAAGTCCTTGGCTGGAGTAGCTCAGTTGGTTAGAGAGTTGTCCCCATATGCAAAGGTTGCAGGTTCGATCCCTAGTCTGGGCACATACAAGACTCAACCAATGAATACATAAATAAGTGGAACAACAAATCGATGTCTCTCTCTCTCTCTTCCTCTCTCTAAAAAAGAAGGAAAAAAAAAAACAAACTAAGGAAAGATGTGCCAAATCTATTTTCTATTACCACCATCCTTCAAGGGTGACATTTAAGGAAAGGTTTTTAACAAAGGGATTTTGGTGCACATGTGCGGTGACCAAATAGCTCTATTTTGTTGTAAGAAAAATTATACCCACCTTTTCCCACATACATAGTGTAGAATAGGTCATATATGTCCTTCTTAGGAAAATGAACATCAAAATGGCATTTAGGCATCTTTGGGTTCAAGTGTTGCTTATGAAAGGAACATTTTCCAGGTCCTATTTTCTTCATTCAAATGTGACATTTCTGCCAGGCTTCCATCTATATATATAAAAGCCTAATATGCAAAGTGTCCCCTGGGGAGTTCCACGGATCAGGAGTTTGATCGCTCGCTATGATGTGCGCTGACCACCAGGGGCAGTGTGGAATGAAGGAAGGCCCCCTACCCGTGCATGAATTTTGTGCAGTGGGCCTCTAGTAGTACCATAAAACCTAAATTGCTTCTCTTCAGCTCATCGCAGATGGAGGAATTCTTTTAGCTTGTGGTTTGTTAATTTATATAGTTGACAGAGGTTTAGCACCTTTCAAGGTAGGAGGTCAGAATCTGGTGGTGAAACGTCTCACTATAACCAAGGCACCCTAATACGTAAGAATAAACAGCTCTAGTTGGGTAGCTCAGTTGGTTAGAGCATTGTCCCAACATGCCAAGGTTGTGAGTTCGATCTCTGGTCAGGGCACATACAAGAAGCAACCAATTAATATATAAACAGGTGGAACAACAAATTGATGTTTTTCTTCCTTCATCTCTCTCTAAAGCAATAAAAAAATTTTTTTAAAAGAAGAAACACCCTTTTCAAGGGTATTCATTAGCTCTGAAGAGGAAAGAGATGGTGATTTTTTTCTTTGTTGTATTCTTTGGGCCATAGGAAAGCTTTCAGGAACTTTCTGCTTTCTCTCAAGCCAAACAGAAAGTACATTTAGTTCTATGTTGTCTGTATTCATGCTCGGCATCTTCTTGTTAAGGACTCACTTCTTGATAGCAAATTTAATTCCTTATTACTATCAAGACTGGGAAATGCTAGCCTCGTGGGGAGTGGTTGGGTTGTCAGCAGTCTCTGGGCCTTCGGTGCAGCTGTGTCCTTGACAGTGTGTCTCCGGAGCATTCGTGTGTTCCCAGGAGCAGTTTGTTTTAGTCCAGGCCTTGGGCTGGTCACCATCTCCTTTGTCAGCAGTCTGCGATGTGCTCTGGTCTGATAGGTTCTTCTGCTTCTGCGTGACTTTTTGCCTTCCTGGCTAAAGAGAAGGTACAATTTGAACAGTTTGCATGGGCACCGTACTTTAAACAACCACCATGACAGTAACAGCTACCTTTGAGAGCTTATATGTGCTCAGTACTTTCCAGACATAATTTTTTTTAAATCCTCACCTGAAGATATTTTTTCCATTGCTATTTTTAAAAATGTTTTTTATTGATTTCAGAGAAGAAGGAGACAGAGAGAGAGAGAGAAACATCAATGGTGAGGGAGAATCATTGATAGGCTGCCTCCTGCATACCCCCTACTGGGGATTGAACCCACAACCCAGGCATGTGCCCTGACCAGGAATCGAATTGTGATGATGTTCAACCACTGAGCCATGCTGGCTGGCCAGGCTCCATTGCTTTT